ACACCCCCACTCCTCCCAGACCTTCTCCAGAGCAGAAGGGCTCCAGTCCCCACAGCATCTCTGTGTCTCCTCTGAATGTCACACAATCACAGAACAGTTTGGATTAGAAGGGATCTTAAGGGTCATCTTGTTCCAACCCTCCTGCCACGGGCAGGCACATCTTCTACTAGAATTTAACCTGTTTGAAAGGAACCTCTGGGTGTCTCTGATCCAACCATCCACTCAGAGAAGGATTTAAATACACCAAACTAGAATTAAACTTCAGTGTTTAATCAGGTGCTCAGAGCCTTGGCCCACCAAGTTCTGTTTCAAGTTTTTCTCTGATCACCACTGGCCTGAGGCCCAGTCTAGTCACTGATGTCACAGAAATTGCCTCCACAATGCAGAGTGGGTCATGCAATGGTTGCATGTGGGAAGAAGAATGTTCTTGTGTTTACAGGGATCTGTAAGAATATGTACTCAAAATGAAGAAAATGCATTCTCTTCAACAAGAAAAAATAAGTAAATATCTTCCTACTTGTAAATAAAAAAACCTCTTATTTTCCAGAAATATCATAAACTTAGCTGATAGAGATTGAAAAAAAAGTGTTTGAAGTATTTGGAGATATCTGCCAGTTCTCTTTTAATTTACAGCAGGCTCAGTCAGGACACTTGAATGGTCACATTCAGAGGGTAGTGGTCAATGGCTCAAAACCCAAAACTCAAAACCCAAACCATTCTGTGCTTCCAGGACACTGTTTGAGGAGGGAAAGTGCCATCAATGCCAACACGCTCAGATTCGGGAGCCTGAAGAATCTCAACTGGGCAAAGTACTTAAATAGCAACTTAATCTCAAGCAAGCTTTCACCAGAGCCAAGGGAAGAGATGGGTTTCATCTCAAAAGGCTTTAGATAATCTTTTTTTTTTTTTCTTTCAGTAAGCTTTTGTTGGTGTCCCAGTTTCCAGATCTCTAGCTAAGAGAGAGTTACACGTCAGAATAAAACAAATACCATTGGGTAAATTCTATTCTCACAGGAAGAATACTTTTTTTTTATCCAACTTCAGATCATTAAAAATTATGAAATAAGTATTTTGGAATTTGGAAAAATCTTAGTACCAGAACTGTGAGAGCTTCATTTACATAACTGAGACCTGCTGGAAACGTTTCTGAAGTACATTTTCTCCTCAGCCCCCGTCATCTTGCCTACGACAATTGCAATAAAATACGTTTAAAATAAGTCACGGAAACGTTTTTTTTTTTCACCATTGCAGTGTTGTGGTACGTCAGCCGTGTTGTAACTGTTCACCTTTCAAGCACAGAGGTAACCCAAACCACTGACACATTTAGGGTAGGCCAGCCTGGATTTAGGGCCAGGCTGGTTGAACGTGACCTTCCGCTGCCTTGGAGGCTTTCAAAAACGTTTTTGCTTCTAAAATTGAAAATTTAACTGACCCACTTGGAATGGATATTTCAGTAAATGGCATTAGAGAAAACCCCTTCCGAGGGCACCATTTCCTTTAACCTGTAGGTCTCTAAGTGGAAGAGGCAAACTGAACTTAGACATTTGGGTTCTGAAGCATCAGCACCTTTTAAACGAGCAGATGTAGGTCATGGGGATCCCAGAAACCACAAACTAAATTCTACCCTTACTTACAACCTCCTCTGGATGGCACAAGGTGAGTAAAATTTGCACTTGCAAATAAGCATTAAGCAATTGTAAAAAACCCACACCTTATTTGCATCATTTTCATCTGAAAATCACCAAAATTAAAGCTGAGGGAAGGTCCCATCAGCAGACCTAGGTTGTTACACCAAGTGTTTCTTTACAATGCACATCCAAGTTACTTGCAATCCACTGTCAGAGCAGTGATTTCCTGAGAAAAGAATGACAGAGGAGAACAGGCTCAACATTATAGAATCATAGAATCATAGAGTGGTTTGTGTTGGAATGGACCTTAAAGTTCCCAACTCATTCCAGGCCTCTATCACAAGACAACTTCCACTATGTCAGGTTGCTCCAAGTTCTGTCCTTGGACACTTCCAGGGATGGGGCAGCCACAGCTTCTCTGAGCAACCTGTGCCAGGGCCTCACCACCCTCACAGAATAGATTTTTTTTCCTAATATCCAATCTAAACCTACTCTCTTTCAGACTGAAGCCATTCCCCTTGTCCTGTCACTCCAGGCCCTTGTAAATAGTCTCTCTCCATTTTTCTGTTATTCTCCCTTCAGGTACTAGCAGGTTCACCCCTCCTTTCTGAAATATAAATCTCCTTTGTCAACAATATCACTGAAATCCAGCTTAGGAGCATCATCAACACCCTTGTCTGTATCTTATCACCCACCTACTCTCCAGGAATTTCATTGAAGATGGTATTATTATATCTCATCGTTCACTACAATCAGTATCATTACCTGGGAAACTGCAGCCTGGGAGATTGGAGACTCCCTCTCTTGAGGCATCAAGTTTCTAGTTCCTGGACTGATACAAATCACAGACTCATTAAGTTTGGGAAAGCCCTCTAGGATCATTGAGTCCAACTATTAACTGACCGTCAAGCCCCTCCACTAAACCATGTCCCCAAGTGCCACATCCACAAATAATTGCTTTATCCAAATTTTTCACATCCCTGCTGTGCTGCTGGCTGACAAAACCGTAGAGCTCTGAGCTCCCAGCAAAGGATACTGAAAGACTCCACAAAAGCACCCTGTCCCAGAGCATCCTATAAATCCCAGTGACCTAAATACTGACTGGAGAGCTATTGATTTAAGTCCCTGAAAGCAGATGAGGGGAGTGAATGCAAACATCCCTTCATGCAGGCAAGGTCTCTTTCAGGGTCAAGCCTGCAGCTTTTAATGAGCCTTTGGGGCTCAGCAAGACATCTGCCTAAGAAAAACAAAACTACACAAAACAAAACCGAAGGCAGTTGCTATCAGCCAGAGCAACAGCAACGACCCAAAGTAACAAGACAGCACAGACTTGAAGCAGTTCAGCCTCTCCTGGTCTGCAATCCTTACAATATCTTAGTGAAAAGCTAGGAAAATAACCCTGAGTGAGAGAAAGGGATCCTGATGTCACCACGTCAAATGGAGCTGGTCCACCTGAAAATGTGAATGTAAATGACAGAATCACAGAATTGCTTGAGTTGGAAGGATCTTAAAGATTCTTTGTCTCATTCCATCTCCTGCCATGGACAGAGACACCTTCCACTAGACCAGATTGCTCCAAGCCCCCTTCAGCCTGGCCTTGGACACTTCCAGGGATGGGGCAACCACAGCTTCTGTGGGCAACCTGTACCAGGGCCTCACCACCCTCAGAGCCAAGAATTTCTTCCTAATATCTAATCTAAAACTCTCCTAAATATTGCACGTTAAAATACTGACCTGGCAGGGTACCCCACAACTGCAATATATGTTTTGGAAAGGATGGAGAGACAGCAGGGTGGGACAGAGAGCTACCTGGGATCACTGATCACTGTCACCCAGCACACAGGGCTGGGATATAGGGAGTCATAATACCTTGGGCCTGCACTATCTGAGGTATTTAAGCTCCCAGTATTTTTGAACACAGCATTCCATCACCTATATACCATGGAGGAGGTGCACCTGCAGCTCCCTCCAGTTTTTCTGCCTACTAGAGGATTCTGCATCTCCCAGCCTTTGCAAGGTTTCTCTTGAACCCTTCAGTCCTCTTCCTAAATTAGGAACTGAAGGTTTAACTGCATCCATCACACTTCTCAGACCACTTTCCTTTGGGTCAAAGCCTTGTCTCATAGCACAGGAGAAGTAAAACAAAAGTAAAATTAAAAGGTGGGAAGCTCAAAACAAAGTTCACTTTTTTTTTTTTTCCTCTGGATAGAGAATGACCGAATTTTGTAACTCATCATCACAAAGCATTCTGATCAAAACTGAGATATCACACCTGAAGTGTAACCATGAATATAAATAGCCCAATTCAGAGTAAGAGATCTGAGAAAAAGATAGGAGCTCCAGAAGGAGTATAGCTCTTCAGACATCAGAACAAATTGCAGCCCATGGTAAGAATTCGAGAGAATTGAATGGTGGTCTGCTCTCCAACATCTGCCCAATTTGGGATGAAAACACATCAGACTAACCTAGGAGCAAACAGATCCAACCCGTGCCAGTGACATTTGTTTTTGGTACCTACAGCATCCCAATTTAAAATTGAGCACTTTACACCTGCGAATTTGCAGTGAGTATCAATTTTTTTGGTCATTTCGTAATGTCTTCGTTTAGTTTTGTTGCCACTTGAGGGACAGGGCTGAAGGAGTGACATCATCTACAGATCTTAGAAAGGGTGAGCCCATATCCTGTCTTCCACCTGTGCTAATGGAATCTATATACACACACTTTTTCGTATAAGTTATGGGTCAGAAACCACAGTTAAGGTTGGGAAAAAAACACCTACTCCAAGTTATCTAGGACAGCCCAGAAACCCTTATAAAAGGTCCAGTAGCAAATGTGCCCAGACACCTTCAGCTCAGCAGAGCCCAGGACAAACATCAGACACAGCAAGAGGAGAAAGGAAGATGCATCCAACCCCTTGTGCTTCTCTGGTAAGAATTTGCTTGCTGGGGTTTTTTTGCCCACAATTTGACAGAGACATGTTTAAATTTGAATAGATGGAATAGCGATCTGCACCCACCTTTAAAATGCTTGTTTAAACCATTAATAATTGAAAATAACTAAAATTTTAGTTGGGGTAGCAACTGTACGAGTATATTGTGACGTGGGATACTACAGCACTGTGAGTCAAGAAATACATTGAAACCTCAACCTTACAGTGTCTTTTTCTTGTTGTATCCTTTCTGAAATCTCCTGTCTTGTATTATTTCCTATAATTTTTTTTAATCACCAAATTATAACTGGGTGTGCATCATACCGGTCAGCACTGTAAGAATCAGTTAAAGAAAGCAAAAGTGGATGTGTCATAGGACATATTTTTCCATAATTACTCCAACCTGCAGTATAGGCTTTGATTACCAGTTAGGCTGACTGTGGATGAATTTCACAGCTGTACCTGCCTTGTGTCCTAAATGCATCTCTTTTCTTCAGCTCAGAGCACTGCTCCTCATGCTGCTGGCCCTGCTCTCAGCCAGCACTTCGCCCTTCGAGAAGGCAATCAAGCCTGGAGTCAAGCCACAGAGCCTCTTCAAGCAAGCTTATCCTGGATGTCCGACCCAAAAAGACTCAAAATTTCCCCAAACTGTGAGAGTCAACATAAGCATCAGCAACACAAACCAGGACACCAAAGCAAGTCTCAATGTGAGCAGCCGCTCTCTGTCTCCGTGGGATTACAGGTATGATCCCTATCCCTAAGGCCTGCAACTACATTGGATGTCCTGGTCATGAGGAACGGCAAGGCCATGCCCACATCTTTATTTTAAGTGCTTAACTGTTGAGAAGTTTTGGAAATATGAGGGTACCCACAGTCCACATGATCCTCTCTGAAAGAAAGCCAGTACAGAAAACAGCACAGAGCAAAAAACTGGCCTAGGCAACATACAGAAGTCAAAGCAAATTACTTCTATAATTTAATTAATTTATTTTTATATTGGGGCAAGATTTATCTTCAAAAGCATTCTTTACCTAAGACATCATAAAAAAATATCTCAGAGGGTTAATACTGCACCAAATTCAATGGTGGTTTAATAACATCAGCATTAATGTTTCATGTTTTGAGGGGGGAGCTGAAGGGTTTAGTTCTGTCAGTCAGAATGAGGTGCTGAGAAGCTTAAATCACTTCTGACCCATCTTTCAAAGTTAGTGCTTGCTTAAAGCAAAAGCAAAAGCAGTTGCACGCAGCCTGGCCTGCTTGACTTACACTTAAAAACCTGAATATTTAGAATCATAGGATCATTAAGGTTAGAAAAGACCTCTAAGATCATCAAGTCCTTCACTTACTTACGCTCTGTTTCTTAGAAACCTATAATAGTAGGGGGGGTCTCCTGTCCCTCTGTGGGCAATATATCCCAGGAGGAACAGGTTCAGGAGCCCATAGTTACTCAGATCATCCTGCCTTTGGAGCAGCGTTTCCATTTCCAACACTTCCTTTCCTGTCCCCTCCCAGGATCGATGAGGACCACAACCGCTTCCCCCGGGTGGTCGCGGACGCCGAGTGCCGCTACCTGAGGTGCTTGAATTCCGACGGGGAGCTGGACCACGGCCTCAACTCGGTCCCCATCACGCAGGAGATCCTCGTCCTCCGGAGGGAGCAGAAAGGTTGCCAGCAATCCTTCAGGCTGGAGAAGAAACTCATCACTGTGGGCTGTACCTGTGTCACCCCCCTGACGAAACCCCAGGCTTGAAGGGAGCTGGCTGTCAAGAGAGCCATGGGAAACCTGCTGGCATTGAGATGGTGGGCCTGATTCAGTCTCCACAAAACTGAATCAAGCTACAATGGTTAGCTAGAATATATCAGAATACATTAAAATCGTTAAGAGCATCACTTAAAAAAACAAACAGAAAAAAAAAAAAACAAAAAAACACCAAACAAACAAACAAAAAAACCAACCTATTATGTTTTCTTCAAAATTGTTAAACTTTATGAATTCAGAATCCAGGCTCCTCCATGTGCTGGGCAGAAAAATAGTGGGATATCTTTACCCATCTGTAGTTTACACTTTGAAATGACTATTTATGTAAATCTATTTATGCTGGTGGGAAAAATAGCAATAATATACTATCCAAATGTATTATTTTAAAGTATTAAGATAATGTTAATTTATCTTTGTGTAATAAAAAAGCAGTGGAAAGCTTTTTGGTATTCTGCTTTCTTTCTAAAGAAGTCTTTTTGTTAAGGGAAAGCATCACTCAATTATGACCATAAAATAGATTTACATGATACTAAAACCTAAAATTCTCTTAATAACATCTTACTCTGCTGCAATAGAATGTAAAGCCCAAAAAAAAAAAAAAAGTCAGGAAAAACACCGTTTTACCAACAGAGAAACTTAAATACCCAGAGGAAAATGATTTATCAAGTGACACCTAAGAGATTCACATTAAGGACAGACAAGTGAAAAAAACTTACTCCTGGGTAGCTACCCAGTTATCCACCTAATTATCCAACTAGAAAAGGATTTGTAAAAATGGGTTCAACAGAAATGTTTCTTTAGGAGGAAAGAAACTCCCTCCCTTAAAACATCAAGTGTGTTTCCACTGGTGAGTTTTAGCTTTGCTCCAACATCACCTGGGAATCTCAGTCCAAACCATTTCAACTCATTTTCTGTGGAGCAGAGTTTCACTACCCGGGCACAGGAGGGAAAGCGCACGAGTGAGTCGGGCGGGTGACTGAAGCAATTAACCACGCCTTGCTAAATTGCAATCGTGATTTTCTCCACGCTCGTCTCCTTCCAACGTGTTTGCTGCCAGCAGTCAGTGCTTCAAGTGTGGGGCACCCTGACACAGCACTTCTGCTGTGGTTGTGGTGGGGATGCGTGGGTGGGCGTCTGGCGTGACAGGTGGGTTTATTTAAAGCACAGCAGGGTTAGAAGTGCTCAGCTGAAGATGTTCCACGTTTCAGAGGGCAGGTTGCCATGTGGAGATGCGGATGTTTTGTTTTTCTGCCGTCTCAGGGAGGTGTGACCCTGCTCAAGCGCTGGCAAAATGCCACTGGCAAGTGCAACAGCGAATACAGAACTTGCAGAGATGCAGAGCTCAGGGCTGCACGTCCCTAATGAGAGGTAAGGTCCTCTCAGGTGACAGCATCTTCCTCAGATCCATCTAACTGGAGATGGGATCATCCCAGTTTTGCTACTGGGGGTTACTCCCCTTGGTGTTCCAGTGAGCCTAAACCCTCCTTAATCTACTCCAGGCACCATCAGGTTGGTCATCCTATAACTTAAACCCATGGCACAGCCACAGGTTCCACACTATCCCTTGACCCATTATATAAACACTGGTCCAAGGAAACATTCATTAACTCCGCATGATCACGGTGTCTGCAATCACAGCAATGAACTTCTGTCCACACCTTTACTTACCTTTTAACAATCTTTCCCACACACAGGAATCTAGGAGTGTGTGTGAGTCTAACTTAGCTTGTTTCTGACCTTACCTCCAGCTGTTCTACCTTAAGGTCTCCTTCAGGGCCTGAAGTTCACCCCAGTTAACAGTCCCATGAATATCAAGCATGGGAACAAACTCCAAAAAAAACCCCAAACCGAAAAAACATTGAGGGACACTCATCCTTTGAGGTTTTCAAGGATTTATGTAAATATCAGTCCAGGAAGATTGAAGGCAAGCTGACTGCCTTGTCCATCAGATAATCTCTCCATGTCCTACCACTCCTAAGAGTTTTGGCGAATTGTGTGCAATTAGCCCAAGTAACTTTTAAAAGTTAAAATCAGAGAAAATCCAACCTTTCTTTACCTGGGAGTGATGTGCCATGGGCTGGAGTTGGCACACAAGTAATGGAGACTGGTTAAAAATACTGAGAAAGCTACTGGGTGGAAAAAGGTAGAACCAGCTCAGAAAAAGGTGACGCAGCTGGAGCATCAAAACACCAACATCTTTCTGCTGACGGGCTGCAAAGATCATCATCATGGAATAGCTTGGGTAGGAAGGAACCCCAAAGATCATCTGGTTCCAACCCCCTTGCCATGGGCAGAGACACCTTCCACTAGACCAGGTTGTTCCAAGCCCTGTCCAACCTGGCCTGATTAAAGATATTCCAATCCCCCTGTCAGAATCATCATTCTCCCTTGGACCATTTACAAACCCACTAAATCCGTGCCTGAGGACACAACCCTTTCTTATTCACTTGGCTTTGTGCTAAGTTCATGATGACCTCTGCAAGCTGCTTGGGTGTTGCACATGCTCCTGCAGAAGTGTTTAATTGGTGATCAATTGGGCTGATTCACTGGGCCTGAGAACTGCTTTCTTTCCTACTGCAAGTTCTCCCATAACTCCTGGCACAACGAGCCAAGAGATTTTCCCTCACATTGCAGAGTTCAGCTGGAAGGGTGTAGAATAATCCCAAACCAATGCACCCTGCCACGGGTCACCTGATCAGTGCCCTTATTTTTCTGGGCAAACATTCATGATTACAGTCGATAGTGATCACAAGAGGAGACTGAAGAGACTAGGGTTCCTCTCTCACCCTTGCACAGCTCTTAGCAGTTTGAGGTTTAACAGGTAAAGCTTGTTCCTTCTTGTTTTCAAGAGTTGCAGTGCAAATTTCTGCTAATTTGATGCCCTTAAACGATATTATCATTGGAGGGACGGGGCGGGGCGGGGGTGGAAATTGCTGCAAAAGCCTCTTCAACATAAAAGTTTCCATTGCTCCCCATCTCAGTTTCGTGTCAGTTTGCAAAATCTGAGCAGCAGTGTCTTGGCAAACAGATTGCTTGGCAACCTGTGAGCAAAACCCAGCAGAAAGGGCAGTTTGAGACTGGATTTGTGCAGCAAGTGATCAGATAACCAGGCTCACTGTTGCCACTTATCAAAGCAATCTGGATAGAAACCAGATGCTTGTAAAAGGTGCTACAGATTCAGCCATAAGGAGACCAAGAAACACAGGTTTAAGAAGACTGAAATAAAAAGCCAGACAAAAAAATTCTGGGGGTAAGTTAGAGAGAAGATAAACCATCTCTATCTGTTTACCAGATCAGGGAACTTTGATCATGATACAAACACATGATGCTTACTAAGAATGCAGATAAAACAGAAACATGATGGTTTGTACAGGTTTTACTCACTCACAGAAAGCTGTGCCCAGGAAAGAGTATTTTGTCAGTCCATGATCCCCAAAGAGCATCAAGCATATTTTTGATATTTTGTTGAAGTTACAAGAAAAGGTGGAAAAGCTGAGCCATTTTTCTGAAGGAATAATAAATAAATAAATAGTTACATAGAAAGCAGGAAGGGATTTCTCTGAGGACCTGAGGATTTGAACCTGCTACCACTATCAAGCCCTGGAAGTAGGGAGAATAATTTGAAAATATGGAATATGTTTTCGGTCATAGAATATCTTGAGTTGGAAGGGACCCACAAGGATCACTGAATTCCAACTCCTGGAACTTCTCTATGTGAGCACCAAAAGGCAGAAGGTATAGTTTGTTTCTGGTGCTGAATCTGACTGGCACCTTCTCAGCTCCTGAAAACCAGCACCAGCACAGTCCTACCCCCACCAACAGCTCTGACTCTGCCAAGTAGTACCAGACAATCACAGACATTTTAGGCAAGTTTGGGGTTTCTTTGTACTATCATGTAACAGTGGTATAGAAAATGCAGGCCCAGCCCACTCAGTAGATTCTTCTAAAGCACAAGGTTAAAAATAATATCAAAGAAGTAAGAGGAAGAAGGGGATGGAGACAAAAGGACATTGTGGAATTACAGAATGGTTTGGATAGGAAGGGACCTTAAAGATCACTTTTTACAACCTCCTGCCATGAGCAGGGACACCTTCCACTATCCAAGGGTTGCTCCAAGCACAGTCCAAACTGGCCTTGAACACTTCCAGGGATGGGGCAGCCACAGCTTCTCTGGGCAACCTGGGCCAGGGCCTCATCACCCTCACAGGGAAGATCAAGGAAAGTCTCACGTTTTACCCCCTGATGGTGACATGGGAGAAGGTTTCTGGTCTGGTGTCTTGGGCGATCTCCAGAACTTGCAGCTGATACAGAAATTCACCCCATCATCTACACCCATCATGTTGGCACCAACCCACAGATCTCCATAGGACTGACCAGAAAATTGCTCATACCCTAAAGTTTCTCCTGTAAGTTCTAACTCTGAACAAACTATGTCAACTGCTGAGTTTTCCAGCCATTAGTCTCTTTTTCTGGTTTACCAAACACAGACACAAATAATTTTGGGGTTGTTTCAAAAAAAGCAATATTTTCTGTGTAACAGGCTGCTCTGGTCCAGAGTCCCTTTGAATACCCCTGTGGTCAGGGGTCCAAAGAAGCCTGACTCACACTTTCAGGTCAATACGTCCACAGGTCACAGCACAAGTCAGGGAGGAGGCATCTACCTGAGCAGAGATCACTGCTGTGCCCTCCATGCTAATACAGGGGCCTCTGCACCAACATCCCATGGGAGTTGCTACCCCAGGATCCCTAACTGAGCTGCCAGAACAGGCACAGCAAGGGGAACAGCGAGCAAGAGTCATGGAAAGGAGGTTAGTGAGATGCAAGCAGAAGAGGAAAGGGATAGGAAAGGCCACGAGGCTCAGATACCAACCTGTGACTGGAGGTTGCTTAGCCCAGCAGGTTACAAGAAAACGCTGTGGCACTGCTGTTACACCTACAGATGTGTCTTCTCCTCCTGGTAAAACAACTGAGTCCCTGAAGGCTTCCCTAAGCCACACTGAGAGCCACAGATGCCCAACTGGACACCCAGCTGGGCTGGATCTGTAGCTGAAGTGTTAAGAAACAAGCAGAGCTTTTAGCAAAGGCTGGTCCCCAGCTCTGAACTGTGCTTGCTCTCAGTGATGTTATGACTGTGCTGTTTACAAGAAGCACAAATTCATTTGCCGTGTTCTCAGATTCACAGAATCACAGAATGGTTTGAGTTGGAAGGCACCTCAAAGATCATTCTAGTTCCAATCCCCAAATTAATAGATTGATGGAAATGAAAGCTGGTACCTTAAATATAACCAGCCTCGTGTTTACAACCAGCTGCACTCTAAGAATGATGCCGTTAGAAGGAAACAGCCCCCGTTGCTCATTTTGTTTAGAAATAATCCCCACACCTCCCTGAGAGGTAGGTTTGCAGTTGGTAGCTCTGGCTGCAAAACCTCATGACCTGTGGGAGAGACTGCCTTAATTATCTACCTGTGTATTTCCTTGATTAGCTACTTCATCATTCATCCAGGTAGGACAACTCTTAGGTAAGGTGGTGGATGTTTAGGAGCATCAGCACAGAAGAGTACGCCTGTTCAGCTGCCCTGAAACCCATGTCAAAGCAATTATGACTGAGAAGAGAGAGAGAGAGTAGTTTTCTCCCTGAAAAACAAGTGAGGACAACCCCAGGAGGTGGACTTATCGAGAGGAAAAGAAATAGGTCAGGAGTAAGAAGCGGGTTACGGTTTCCTGGTCAGTGGTTACTGTAAGAGCAGAGCTGGTGATACGTGAGAGCGAGCAGAAAACGCCTCCAGAGGTTTGCTCTGCACCACATGAAGAGCTTGGTGGTCATAACGAAACAGCTGCTGCCACAAATGAGTACAAATGCCTGTAACTGAATGAGATGGTTACCCATGGGCTGTTGAACCAGCTCCCAGTGACCCACAGGGCAGAGAATACACCCGACTCCACAGAAAAGCACCAAAGGATTTATCACAGAACCACATAATCACAGAATTTTTTGGATTAGAAGAAACCTTAAAGATCATCTAGTTCCAACCCCCCTTGCCATGGGCAGGGGTACCTTGCACTAGACCAGGTTGCTCCAAGCCATGTCCAACCTGGCCTCAAGTTATTTAGACCCAACAACTTGCCCGACTTACTCTGGGGAGGAAGCCCAGAGTCTACCTGCAGCAGGTGGATCTAATTTTAAGTGGTTTCTGTGCAGTCAAAATGAAATACGAGAACGTGTTCACACAGGTTTGCCCTGATTTAAAAGCAGGGGGGAAAGGAAATAGAAGCTCAAAGCCTCCACCAACAGAAATCAAAGTCAGAGGTCTGAGAGTCTGGCTCAGCTCTGGGTGAAAGATGAAGTAACATCTGGAGAACCCAGATCCGTCATCATCTCCCCCATCTTTTCATCTATTTAGGCTGCAAATTCTCTTCTGCTCCCTCTTACTCACATCACTGTACTGGAAAATGCCTGATTTTCGCTGAAGTCTCTTAGTGCTACTGCAGCACAAACCCATTCTCTGTGTCTGCTTCCATTTTGAGCTACAACAAAACAACATTTTTTAAAATAAAATATGATTTTTTATTCAGCAGATAAGTTATTGAATAAATACAGATTAAAATTATCCTTTTTTTTTTTCTTTTTGTGCTCTGAGCATACACAAAGCCATAAATACCATCATAAATAGAAGACATAAATATAGATATAAATATTCATTGGTTCTTTACCATTTTAACACTCATTGCAGTGGACTCAGTTCTGTCCCAAAATGCCCTGCAATAAATCAGCCCACACCAAATAAAACCAAACAAATGCAGAATATGATAACAGTTCAGGCCTGTTGGCACAAATGTTTGATTAACACAGATAATATCTTAGAGACCAGGGGTGGCCAGAGAAGGGAAAGGGGTAGGGGATGAGTAAGGGAAGGAGAAGGTCCAGGAGGAGGAATTTTTTATGGCAGTGCTTGGGGGTAGGTATTCATTAAGGCAACTTTTGAAACTATAACTCATTTGATTCACCAAACTGATATAAACCACAATGAAAAATAAATTCAAAAAGAAGCACTGCTTTACCCTCTCACCACTTGGGGTCACAAACAAAGCTTTTTCTCCACTCCTTCTCCCTCCCCTCCATCACCAGCTACCAGTGATTCCCATTCTAAAATCCATCAGGCAACAACAGCTGAATCATGAGGTAATTTCGGGAGGCGATTTGCTCAGGTTTGGAAGGGCGATGTCGTGTTGAATTCCTGGGATTCGCAGTGGGCGACTGTGGGATTTCACCAGAGGGGTGTCTGTAGGATATACTGGTTCTTCCCAGTGCCGTTTGCCCTAATAATTCCTCCTAGGAGTGGTGGCGGATGACTGGAGTGACGCAGGTGCAGCCCACGGTGATGAGTTTCTTCTCCAGGCGGTAGGTGGGCCGGCAGCCCTGCTGCTCCCGCCGCAGGACGAGGATCTCCTGCTTGATGGGGACGGAGTTGAGGCTGTGGTCCTCCTGCCCCAGGGGGCTCACACACCCAGAGAGGCGGCACTGGGCTTCAGCAATCACCTGGGGGAAGCGGTTGGGGTCCTCGTCGAGCCTGGGGATGGGCACAGGAAAGGGATTTATGTCTTTGCACAGCACGGGTTGGCAGGATCTTCTTGTTTATCTCCATGGAAGCACCCTACTGTTCACCTGTGCATCCCCACCGTGACACCTGGCCAAATAATTTCCCTATCCTCAACGTTTCTTAGAATTATTTCCTAGGAAATGGAATCAATTTTGGGAGGGTAATAGTGCTGTATCATTCTTTGGGAGTTGATGAGTGGAGAGGAGCTGAGTTAAATACAGAACTCACTGCAATCTCACAATTCATTTTTTTAATTGTTTTAAAAATGGTTGTAATTTGAGAATTCAGAAATTTCTTTCAGTTTGGAACATTTAGAATTACAATGGACTGACATCATTCTTTTCCCAGGGGAATAATTCATTTCATCATCATTTCAACTCTATACAGTGCTACAGCCTGGGGACAGAGTGGCTGGAAAGCTGGAAAAGGACCTGGGGGTGCTAATTGTCCATGACTGAACATGAGCCAGGTGTGCCCAGGTGGCCAAGAAGGCCAATGGCACCTGGGCTGTCCCAGCACTGGTGTGTCACAGCCCCAGGGCAGTGCCTGTCCCTGTGCTGGCACTGCTGAGGCACCTCCAGGGCTGGGGACAGTTCTGGGCCCCTCAGACAAGAGAGACACTGAGGGGCTGGAGCGTGTGCAGGGAAGGGAACAGAGCTGGGGAAGGGGCTGGAGCACCAGGAGTGGCTGAGGGAGCTGGGGGGCTCTGTCTGGAGGAAAGGAGGCTCAGGGGGAACCTTCTCTCTCTCTCCAACTCTCTGACAGGAAGGTGGACCCAAGTAGAGATCAGGCTCTGCTCCCAAGGAACAAGTGACAAGAGGAAAAGGCCTCAAGTGGTGCCAAGAGAGGTTTAGTTTGGATACTAGGAAAAAATTTTTTCCACAAAAAGGTTGACCACCCCTGGCACAGCTGCCCAGAGCAGTCATGGAATCACCATCCCTGAAGGGGTTTAAAAGCTGGGTAGATGCGACACTTGGGGACATGGTTCAGTGGTGGCCCTGGCAGTGCTGGGGCAATGGTTGGACTGGATGAACTTAGAGGTATTTTCCAACCTAAATGATTCTATGATTGACACAGGCAGACAAGAGGATTAAAAACCCTTCCAAAACACTGCAAACAGTTTCTCTTGGAGAAATCTCACCCAGCATCAAAAATCAGCATGTGTCAAGAAGTGTTTGTAATATTTACAGGACTCTGGGTATATGCTGAGAAGCAGCCATCGCTCACCCCAAAAAAAACCCTCTCTGTACACAAATATCACAATTAAGATAACAAGTAAACCGTTACCTGTAATCCCAAGGAGCGAGAGATCGGTTCCTGATATCGTGGACCATCCTAAAGGCATGATGTGACTTGATGATACGAATGTTGACTTCCACTGATGTGGGGAATTTGAGATCCCTTTGGTTCAGGCAGTCTTCACTCAGCCTCACAGAGGCATCAGCCTTGCTGGGTTGAGCGTGAACCACCTTCTTATGGGGTGAGCTCCTTACAGTGAGTGCAAGAACCAGCACCAAAACCAGTGATCTGAACTGGAAGAGAAGAAAGTTATCTTAGTTCTGTCCAGTCAAGAAAGGGAAAGCACAAAGAGTCAAGTCTTTACTAGACTGGACCATCCTCATATTTGGTTGAGACAGGCCAGCACGAGCAAACAGCACAACACTGCAAATAAAACTGATCAGTGCAGATGCTAAACTCTGATTTAAATTCTGATTTTTAATTCTGATTCATAGTCAGCTTTGCACCAAAAAGAGCATCCCTTCTTGTGCCTTAGAAATCCAGCAAGCCATTTCTCAGGACAGTAAAGACTAGCAACCCTCATCTGCTGGAAATAACACCTTTTCCAAGGAAATCTGAGATTCTCGGGCCATCTCCAGTAGACAGAGTTTTAGTGACTCATAGAGTCATAGAATGAGTTGGAAGGGACCCACAAAGATCATCAAATCTAACTCCCAAAAAGAAGGTAAAATAAATGAAGAGGTTTTAGGGAAATCACAGGAGCTGACAGTGCTGCAAATGCTACCCAGGCTGAAATTTAAATTCATAGATGTTCACAGTGAAATTTCAGCAGTTTTGGTAACATGTTGTCTGAGAAAAGGGCTGTCTCCCGCAAGTGCTGATAACTAGAAGATAAATAAATAATAAATAGTCCACCACAACCTTGTCACTCAAGCATCAAACACAGCTGCATCAGAGAGAATCAGCATCCCATTCAGCTCCTACCAGGACCAAAAGGGTTTCTTGTCGAAATGACAGGACCTGCACTCTGCTTTCTCTCTTGCAGAAAATATTTCTTAAGCTTTACATTAGATGTAAGTACTTACCATGGCAGTGGAGCTGGAAAAAGCCATGGCCACCTCTCTGCTGCTTTGGGTGGATGCACAGGGTGACAAGGCACGAGAGTTCTCCTTCTCTGAGACCCCTTCCACCTGCTTGTGTCTCAAAGCCAGTTGTGATCTCCTTTTTATAGCAAAGTTCATCCACTACCACCCTTTCCATTGCAGCACAGCTGCCTTACCTGACCCGAGGTTGAGCTGATATTTCATTTCCTAGCCCACTTCCTCCCATCTACCTCCAAAAAGGGGAGGGCAGATACTATCACCAGAATCCCAAATTAGCCAATACCATTTATTCAGGCAGATAAAGAGATAAGGAAAGAAAAAGAGTGAAAAAAATTGTTCAGGTAGTTGTTTTTTTTTTTACCCCCTCCCACCCCCTCTTTCTAATAATAATATTGTTTCACCACAAACCCATGTGTGGATGCACCTCCACGTGCCTCACACAAACCAAACGGCAGAGATGAGCAAGCTGCAAAGCCAGGCACCCAGCAAGGCTTTCTAAATGAGGACAGGACACAGGAGTGCTGCTTTCCTGCCCCTCCTCTGTGCTTGTCAACTGCAAGGACCTTGGAGCAGCATTTCTCCTGGATGGACTCCTTGGACATTCATGATGGGGAATGGAGATGGGGAAGGGTCTGGAGCATCAGGAGTAGCTGAGGGAGCTGGAAAGGCTCAGCCTGGCGAAAAGGAGGCTCAGGAGGGACCTTGTCCCTCTCTGAAACTCCCTGACAGGAAGGTGGAGCCAGGCGGGGGTCAGGCTCTTCTCCCAGGCAATATGTGACAGGACAAAAGGATACAGTCTCAAGCTGTGCCAGGGGAGATTTAAGTTGTGCATGAGGAAGAATTTCTTCTCAGAAAGGGTAATTAGACATTGGAATGGGCTTCCCGGGGAAGTGGTGGAGTCCCCATCCCTGGAGGTGTTCAAGGAAAGACTGGATGTGGCACTCAGTGCTCTGGTGTGGTTGACAAGGTGGGAAATGGTCAAAGGTTGGACTCGATGATCTCAGAGGTCTTTTCCAACCTAAATGGTTCTGTGTGATCTGCCCCACAGCCATACTGTACTGCACTCTACTTAACTCTCCTCTGAGTGCCACAGGGGCTGGAAAAAAACATTTTTAAACAGTTTTTACTCATTTTAAAGTGTCTGAAAGGGTTGTACCACGCCCACCAGAGCAGTGGCTGTAGACAGTGATTTCACAGCAGTGGTGAGGGGTGAGGTGAGGGGGCAGCTGGGAGAGCAGGACTCCCTGTGGTAGCACTGGAGCAAACTCATGTGCAGTGAATATGTGTACATGTGTGTGCATATGTGTTTATATATATATATATATATATGGAATAACAGAATCAATTAGTTGGGAAAGACCTCTGAGATCATCAAGTCCAACCTATGCCCTATCATCACCCTGTCAACTAAATCGTGGCACAAAGTTCCTTGTCCAGTCTTTCCTTTAACACCTCCAGGGACAGTGACCCAACCACTGGATGTCTCCAGCAGCTGCCCTGGGTCCCCCAGTCCCCCACTGTACAGACACAGACACCCACCAGTGGCTGCTCCTTACCAGCAGCCAACTCCCAGATCCCACCATCTCCCCTGTAGCTAGTCTAGACCTCCCAGTATTCCCAGTGGCCAATTATGAGACCCTCTAGTCTCTGGTCTGGCATCCTGCCCAGGTTTGTGGCTGCTCCAATACCCAGAGCACATCCAGCTGGATGTCCTTAGCATTTCCACGCTGACATAAACCCTCACACACACACATGTTCCTTACTGATCCACCTTCATCCTTTCCTTTCCCCAGCTTTGCTCCTTCCTCTATACACCTCACAAGTCTTACACAATCCCAAATACTCTTCCCAGCACACCATAACGAGTCCCATAATCCCACAGCCAGGTGATAATGGGGAAAGCCTCCCCCATTAACTTCTCTGGGGGACTCAGATGTGTACTGGGGTTGACCATCCCCCTTGGACAGCCCTGGAAGAGCTGGCTCAGGGACTTCGTTGGTGCTGTGTTATTGGTGTTCCTCCACTCCTTAGTGTTCATGGAAAATTTAATCACTCTTAATCATGCAATCCCCATTTTATAATTAGGGGAGAGAGGCACGAAAGTAAAAGTGGAAACAGGACTCCGCATCCTGTGATCCAGAAAGGATCAGCCACAAACTGGAAGGGAAAGACCAGTGCATGTGTTGTTTCCCCACGAGCACCAGCAGGTCTCTTTGGGAGTAATAGCTATGTTTATGGCAGAAAAAAGGCCTATATAACCCCTTTAATCAGCTTTTCTGTGGAGAAGAGCCCTGAGAGAAATGTTTCCCCAGGCCACATAGCCAAGCTGGAAGCAGAGGACTGAAGTGTAGGACTCTTCACAGAAAGTCATTTTCAGTCCTCCAGGAAATCAACAAATTCATGACATTTTTGGTCCTACAGGAAATCAGAACCCTCTTACAAATTTTTGTAATTTTCCAGTGAGAAGGGACTAATCTGGTCTGAATAATACCAGCAGAAATCTCCATCGACTGATGCTTTACGTCGCTGCAGGATGTTGTCATAATTTTGTGGTCTGAATCAACTCTCAGCTCAGAGACCTGAGACTCGTCTCACATAAATTTTTCACATTTCAGGTTACTATGTTTACCTGAAGTAATACAAATCCTGTGACACATGTTCCTATTCTGACTGTTCTATGTATCCACCACCGCATCTACTGAGATGCGACGCTGAGCGTGGAAGACCAAGAGAGGGGAGAATTACCAGAAATCCACCTTTTTTAGCCCAGCAAGTGACCTCCTTTTTTTCCCCCTGAGTGCTGGCTGTGAAGGGAAAGGGCACTGCCATGAAAATGGGTTGGATTGTGCAGGAAGAGGGTTAAGAGGAAACCATTACGTGGGATGAAGCAATGACGTCATCACGTCAAGTACCAGGTTATGAGCCCCCACCACCACTTTCCACTCACATTTTGTGCCTTCAGCAGCCCGTAAATTCAGCAGGGGTTCCCTCTTTGACCCTAACTTTCCTATGATTGAACTTGTCTTTCACTGAAGTTCACTGAAACTTTGATTGAAAGGGGTCACCGCACTCGAATCATTAGAAGGGAGGAAAAATACTCATATTCATGGAATCACAGAATGGTCTGTGTTGGAAGGGACCTTAAAGATCGTCTAGTTTCACCCCTTTGCCATGGGCAGGGACACCTTCCACTATCCTAGGTTGCTCCAAGCCCTGTCCAACCTGGTCTTGAACACTTCCAGAAGTGGGGCAGCCACAGCTTCTCTGGGTAACCTGTGCCAGGGCCTCACCACCCCCACAGGAAAGAATTTCTTCCTTAAACATAGGAATATATAGTTATCTCAAAAAGCTGTTCACTCCCACACATCACAGCCTTGGAGCAGGGATGGGGACTTGGAAATAAACCAGAAAATTTTAATTTCACTTACAAGAATTCTTCTACTCTTGAGTTACTATAAGGAAACCTCACTGTTTGCACTGTTACACGCAGGTTCAGGTTTTCACAGCACTGCAGGCATAAGAAATTCCTTATTTCAGGTTGGGCTTGAACCACAGAATCACTGAATGGTTTAGGTTGGAAGGCACCTTAAAGCTTACCTCGTTCCAAGCCTCTGCCAGGGGCAGGGACACCTTCCACCACACCAGGTTGCTCAGAGGACCTTCTGTAGCAGGCAGCAGCAAAGGGCTGAGATTGCAGCCTCTGAAAGCTCTGGATGTCAGGATCAAATCAATATTTCAGGCTGAGGTGGCTGCAGCACAGGGCAGGGCTTGCACCTCCAGCAGTTTGTTCCTGCCTCTCTGGCCAACCCAGATTTCACCCTTCTGATGTGTGACACCACAAGATCACCTCCTGCTTTAGAGTTCTGACTGATCATGCCAAGAGGTGTGAACTGAAAACACCAAAATTTCAGGGGAAATGTGGCTGCCAGGTGTGCTGCAGGTACCACCAGTGGAAACCTCTGCATGGGAATGTTGCTCCAGCACAGCAGTGACCACAGCTCTGTGTTACAGCTGTGGGACCTCAGAGGGGACCAGTGGCACCTCTGGGCTCCCTCCACAGGCCGAGGACAGACCTCATTTTTGGCTGTCACCCCTGAGTCTTCCTCATGCTTTGGTCAGAGCTGCGGGATGAACGGGAGGCAGGGATTACATGATGCTGATGGTGCTGGTGTGGGGAATTCACTCCTAATCCCTGCAGTCTGAGTGTTCACCTGTCCTGCAGCAGGGAGATAAATAGGGGTGTTGATTTCTAGCATCAGTAACCCTGCAGAGAGGGGGTGGACTCAGGGTTTGAGAAATACAGTACTAAGGTACAAAGTGACAAAGGGCCATGAAAATGCTCTGAGGGCTGCAGCACCTCAGCTATGGAGAGGGGATGGGAGATCTAGGGTTGTTCAACCTGAGAAGAGAAGGTTCCAGAGAGACCTGAGAGCCCCATCTGGTGCTTAAAAGGGCTCCAAGAAAGCTGGAGAGAGACTTTCAACAAGGGCTTGGAGTGACAGGACAAGGAGGAAAGGCTTCACAGTGCCAGAGGGAAGGATTAGATTAGATATTAGGAAGGAATTCTTCCCTGTGAGGGTGGTGAGGCCCTGGCACAGGTTGCCCAGAGAAGCTGTGGCTGCCCCACCCCTGGAAGTGTTCAAGGACAGGTTGGACAGGGCTTGGATGGAAGCTGTGGAAGGTGTCCCTGCTCATTGGACAGGGACAGTTGGATTAGATGAGCTTTAAGGTCCTTTCCAACACAAATCATTCTAAGATTCTATAAAATAAGGTGCCAGGGAACTAGTGGGTGCTGGACCAAGCCCATGGCAGGACAGATGGGCTGGTTTTTGGGTGAGGTAAGAGGGGAGCAATGGGCAGGCTCTGTGTCAGGTCACTCAACTCAAAACAAGGGTCAGGGCCAGAACTGGGGCTCCTCTTCTCAATCCCACGCAGCAGAGATGAGACCAGGGAAATTATTAGGGACACAACTCGAAAGGAGGTGACAGGGAACATACATGACCAAACTCTTTGGTTGTTTTTGTTGGATTCCCTGAATTGTTACTTTTCTTACCTGCGATCTTCAATATCAAAAGGAGCAGGACATCACTCAAGAAAGGCTGCACACTTCCCATGAGATCTTCCCTGGCTCCCCCCTCCTGTCAGGGAGTTGCAGAGAGTGAGAAAGTCCCCCTGAGTCTCCTTTCTTCAGGCTGAGCCCTCCCAGCTCCCTCAGCTGCTCCTGGTGCTCCAGCCCCTTCCCCAGCTCTGTTCCCTTCCCTGAACACACTCCAACCCCTCAACGTCTTTCTTGTCGTGAAGGGCCCAAAACTGAAATACATTTTTATAATATATAATTTTTTTATAATACATATAAAAATACAGCAGCTGTCCATGTGGCTGAGCATCCAGGCACTGGATGATCTCTCTGGTGGTATCACAGATTCAGGCTGTAGGTCAGATCCAGCTGATCCCCACAGATCTTTCTGCCTGTGATAGTTGTTTGTTTTTCTCCTGTCACCAAAGGCCTCTCTCCCAATTTCCAAGGATAGACTGAGATGGCCATCAGCACTCGGGGTAGACAGCCACATCCTGCCACTCCAGGCTACTGGATAGTAAAATAAACCAGATTTATCTACCCTGGAGCTCCTCCTGGTGTCCTATCTTGGGAAATTCAGTATCAGCAGTTCCCCAGCTGTAAGGGCAGGAAAAACAAAAATCACAGAATTATGGAATGGTTTGGTTTGGAAAGGACCTTAAAGATCATCTCAGTCCAAACTCTGCCAAGAGCAGGGACACCTTCCACTATCCCAGGTTGCTCCAAGCCCCGTCCAACCTGACCTTGGACACTTCCAGGGATGGGGCAACCACACTGGGTAAACCTGTGCCAGGGCCTCACCACACTCACAAGCAAAGGATACTGTTCCCATCTAACCCACCCTCTGGCAGTGGGAAACCATTCCCCTTGTCCTGTCCCTCCAGGCCCTTGTCCCAAGTCCGTCTCCAGCTCTCCTGGAGCCCCTTTAGGTACTGGAAGGGGCTCTCAGGTCTCCCTGGAACCTTCTCTTCTCCAGGTGAACACTCCCAGCTCTCCCAGCCTGGCTCCATCAGAGACCATCTGTGTGTTTTACTCCCCTTCCCTAATCTTTGCAGTTCTATGAGACCAAACACTCTCTGCAAGTCTGAGGTCACCCTGGGGAAGCACAATACATCCAACCAGAGACCTTCAGGAAGCTGCAAACAGGCAAAATCCCCTCCAAACCCACTGTCATAGCTGTGTTGAATGAGACAAGCTCAAAAATCCAGCTTTTATAGTTCAACAGTTCTGTCTGCAGAAGAAAAACAAGGGAACCCCCTCCCCCAGACACTGAGATGCTGCCAAGATGCAGAGCTCCAGGTGGACAGAGGCAGGAGCTGCCCACAGTTACTGCCCTCTCATCTCACAGGAATTTCTGCATGTATTTGGTCCACCCAAGGCAAAGGCCCATGGTGGAAAGACATTCCCAAGACCATTCCTGAGCTAAAAGGGGGTGGCAGCTGCCTGAAGGTTTTGCAGAGCAGCACAGGTCCCCAGAAGGGTGCAGAGTTGTATCCCCACAAGTGGGAATTTTACATCCAAGCAAGCAAAAAGCCATGGATTAAACAATATAGATATTTTTATTTATCAAATTAAGATTTATGGCATCCAGAAACAAGGGAACATGAGCTGTGCAGGTGTCTGGGGATGGGCAGGGATAAGAGCAAACAGACAGTGCTGCTCAGGGGATTCTCCAAAGCTTCATCTCAAACTCACCAGGATGAAAAAAGAAATTAAAGAAAATCCCAAACCTTCAGCAGCACTGGATCACAAGCAGCAGAGACTGGTCTGACTGTGGGGTCAGCTTTTCTTGAAACCCATCCCCAGGGAATGATTCCAGGTTGAAAGGAGGAGCAGCTGGAGATGGAACCCATCTGTGCCAGAAACACATTCCCTGGGCAAACTCTGAACACCCATGTCCTTTCCTGGGGTCAAAACTCCCACCAGGGGTGTGAAATCCAGAAATAAAGCTGACCATGGGCAGTGGAGCAGGTCAGACCATACCTGTCCCTCCAGCACCAGGAATCATCCTCCACAAGATGGGTGGGAAAAGCAGAACCAACAAGACAGGCATTAGGCATCTTTCCCTGTGAGACAAGCAGATCTAGGCTATACAGTTGGGGAAAAAAAAAGGGAAAAATAAAAGCTTCACTAGTAGTGGAGCTCTCACATTGCTTCTCACCACCACTATGGAATATTGGATTCCTAAATCCAGATTTATTTTTTAAAAATCCACCAAAAAGCCACCAAATCTAAACACAATACATTAAGAACACTGATAATTTGCTCTTAGATTTTTCCTTTCACCTCCTTGCAGAAACAAACCTCTTCCCAAATGCTCCAGTTTGAAGACAGCAACAACTTCCAGAGCTCCTGGCTCTTCTTCTTTTGTGCCAGCAGTGCACAGCAAGGAAGTGCAGAGACCTGAGCTCCCCAAAGTCCAGCTCAGCCAGATGAAGGTTTCAGGAGAGAGCTGAAGGCAAACACAGAGAGTCTCCGGACTGAGAGTCCACAAAAACTTGGGATCTTCCACCCAGAGGCTCAGATTAAGAAGACAATGTCATCAGACACCATGATCTGGTTTTCATCCTGCATGTGGGCCAAGGCCCCCTTCACCTCGGCCAGCGAGAAGGGCTCGGGGTTGTCGCGGTTGATGGACTCCATCACGTTCTTCAGACCCACAGACTGGGCGTGGGAAGCTTTGAAGACCTCCAGGAGAGCAGCCTTGAACGCTTTCAACCTGGTCAGAGGAGAAGTAATCACCCTTAGAGACCACACACAAGTCCTTTCCCTCCTTCCCAGCCCGGGATGCCTCAGCCCTTCCCCATTCCAGGTGCAGCACTCGGCAGGAAAGCCAAAACCGGAGCCAGGGCCACCACAGATGCATCTCCAGCAACTGAGACAGCAGCTTGGACCCACTGAGGGGGTTAATATGCAGGAATAAACTCCTCCTCCAGCCCCCACTCACCTTTGCTCAGCCAACTCCACCTTCTTCCCTTCCCCAGTGGCCGAGGCTTCGGGCGTCTTCGGAGTGTGTGCCTGAACTGGAGCAGAAGGAAGAGTCACCTTCACCCTTCCTGATGTCCAAGCACCCAGACAGCAAAAGCTCTTGGCCTCAGGGTGGGGTAGGTGACACCAAACTGCCTCCCAATATTGTTAATTCTGCAGCAGTTTGGAAGCGGGTGGAAAAGAATTAACCAGCAATACTATCATGGAATGTCTTGGATTGGAAGGGACCTGAAAGATCTTCTCATTCCAACCCCTTCCACTAGACCAGGTTGCTCCAACTGTCCAACCTGGCCTTGGACACTTGCAGGGATGGGGCAGCCACAGTTTCTCTGAGCAACCTGTTCCAGTGCTTTGCCACCCTACCAGGGGAGAATTTCTTCCCAATATCCCATCTAACCCTGTCCCACACAGACAGGTTCATCTGGATTTGTGGCACTGGGTGGTGGTTGCACCACGCCAGAGACCCCAGGAACAGCAGCACTGCTGCTCCCCAGGCTGTGTAGCCCCACCAGGGCTGAAGGCAGCAGCACCCTCAGGAGCCACGTGCCGCCAAAACCCCAGGGACTCACCCTGTGGCATCTCCTCCTCGGCGTCACTGAAGTCATAGGGGTCGTAGGAGCCCCCCTCGCCTTCTGTGCGTGCCTTCTTCCTCCTGGGAGAGGGGACAGGAGGTCAGCCCTGCTCCAGCTGAACTCCCAGGAAAAACTGGAGTTCAGGAGCCCATGCCCTGAGCTCCTGGAGATATCTAGCCAGGAACTCACAGGGTACCTGTGGCTCATAGGTAACCCACCCTCTGGCCACAGATCCCTGCCCATGGCACAAGACCCAGCTGGCACCAGTCCCAAGGGTTGTGGCTGTTATGGAATCACAGAATGGTTTAGGTTGGAAGGGACATTAAAGCTCATCTCATTCCAACCTCCTGCCACCTTCCAGTAGACCAGGCTGCTCCAAGCCCCATCCAACCTGGTCTTGAACATTTCCAGGGATTTTTCTGGGCACCCTTGTGCCAGTGCTTCAAATTTTAGGACATGGTTATCCAGCCAGTTCCTTATCCATGAAATAATCGTGTTCCTCTACTACAAACTGGGGTGGACAATCCACCTGGCTCAGCAAAATCTGGAGCATTTCCCCAAGGCCAGCACTGCCTGTGGCAACCTCAGAAGAGTCTGGTGTCCTTTGAACAATGTCCCTCCCTTGCTCTGGCTCCTACCTCTTCGTCCTGCGCTCCTCCTTGGGCTGTGACTCCTCATCTTCCTCCTTCTCAGTCTCTGAGTCCTCCTCCACCGTCTTTCTGCGTTTCTTCTTCTCCAGCACCTGTGTGGCAAAGGCAGGATGGACTGAGCCCTGTTTTCCACTCAAGTTGCTTTTAGGGGACCAAACCCAAGGACCCAAGATTCCACCGTGGTGGCCTCACCCCACACTACATCCAGGAAAGGTCCCACCAGCAGCCCAGGGTGCTCAGCCTGCACCAAGCCCACCCTTTCCAATGACAACCTCGGGATGCCCCAGGAGCAGAGGGACACCTTTCCCCCACCTTTTTGAAGTAGGCAAACTGCACCAGCTCCAAAGCTGCCTCAGCATCCTGCAGATCCACAGTCTTGTTCATCCTGGCCTTGGCATGGGCTGTGGAGAGGCGGATCAGGGTCTCCAGGGTCCGGGCCGTGATGGGGGAGGTCTGGGGAGAGAGAGAGGGAGGTGCCTCTGTGAGACTGACCCACACCACAGCGTCCCACATCACACCCAAGGTGGGAAACACTCATAAAGCAGAGAGAGAGGGGCCTGTGCCTCAGCTTCCCTCCTCCTGGCCCAATGGGGAGCTGCTCCCAGGGCTCACCCTGGCGATGTCCGAGTTCATCTCGCTCTGGCTGCGCAGGCGGGAATACTCCTCCGCGATGTAACTCGCCGCCTCCTCCGTCAGCACGGGCTTGATCATCTTGGCTACGTGGATGTACTTCCTCATGAACTGCATGCTGACAATCTTCTCCCTGTGGGAACACACGTGCACCCTTGTTTTCCAGGGCGGGAGGGGGGGTGGGCTTTCCATCCACTTTTTCCACCCTTCGGGGGCATCCAGGTGTGTAGGGAATTCAGCTCCAGATGTTCCCCACCTTCCTGGCACAAGAGATCAAGCCCAGAGCAATACTCCCTTGGCATCCTGCCCATGTACCTCCCCCCTGGACCACCTGGAGCATCGCTGGCATTGGCAATCAGTCACTGGATACTCAAGCCAAATCCATGAACCCACAGTGCTGGAAACCCCAGAGGGCTCCAGGGGGATGTGGGATGAAGGACTCACTTGCGGCGGTTGGGCCCATGCAGGAGGTCATCGTGTTTCTCATACACCTGGAGCTCCTGCTCCTCCTCCTGCGTGAAGTCAGGGTCATCCGTGGCCAGGATCTCCACAGCACTACCCAAGGGCATGGCTGGAGAGGAAAGTGGCACAGAGAATAGGCTTTTAGTCTCTGGAATAAATTCCAAAAGCCACCAAAACCAGTCCCCTGCCAAGCCAGGGGTGCCGAGCCCTAAGAGATGCCACCAAGGGGTGACAACCCATCACGGAGGGAGACAGGAGTGAGGTGACAAGGGACTCACCATCCCCGTCCTGCTCGTTGGGGTTGCGGTAGCGGTGCATCCGCAGGACGTGGTCCGAGATCTCCCTGTCCTGCTCGGGGTCCATCTGGTCCAGCACGATGAAGAGCAGGTCGAAGCGGGAGAGCAGAGAGTCCTGCAGGCCGATGTTCTCCATGGGGGTCTTGTACTGGTCGTACTGTGGAAGGATGTGAGGGGTTACAGGAGACCCTCACAGGCTGGTCCTGGCTACCAGGGAGGCTGGGGGACCTCCTCTGGCCAGGTCTGAAAGGATGGATGGGTGTCCTGGCAGATGGACACCACACCAAACCCAGCCTGCTGCAGCAGTACGGCTGCTTTTCCCCATCCTGCAAGGTGGGTGTAGCTCTCATTTCCAAGGAAAACAAGTATTATTTTGTGATCCTAGATCAGACAGCAAGACTGAGGCTCATCACCAGGATGAGGGTCCGGTGCCCTTCCCCAGACACCCAGGCAGAATCAAGATGAGGTGAGAAACCCCAGGAGTCCCCCTCTCCTCCAGGAGAGCCATGAGCACAAACAGACAACAAACTGACAAGGTCTCATGGATCCCAATCCCAGTAAGAACCAAGTCACTGGTTTGGGGGGGATCTTCTGGGTTTCTTCACCAGCTGCCTCTCCCCAGCGCCCTGCCCCAGGGAGGGGACTGACAGCAGCACTCACCCGGCCATAGACGGGGTTGGCAGCGGCCAGGACGCTGCAGCGCGAGTTGAGCCGGGCCTGGATCCCGGCCTTGGCGATGGTGACGCGGCCCTGCTCCATCACCTCGTGGATGGCCGTGCGGTCGATGTCGGACATCTTGTCGAACTCGTCGATGCACACCACGCCCCGGTCGGCCAACACCATGGCTCCCGCCTCCAGGCGCCGCTCACCTGGGACGGGGCAGGAGAAAAGAGGGTCAAGTCACCATCCTGCAGCCCCCACACACCTGCCCTGCCATCCCCATCCACCCCTGGGATGAGGGTGAGCCTCAAGGAGCAACCTTCAACCTTCAGGGTTGCCCATCTCCCACCCAACTTGACAGCACAGAGGACGCTTAGGATAAGGAGCAAGCCCATGAGCAGGACAAAATCCAGGCTGCTGCTAGACCTGACATGGGATACACCAAGTAGATGAGGAGTAAAGAAGACCATCACCTAATAGAGGTGGAAAAACATCTCAAAACACCACAATCATCACCATAAAGCTTCTGGGTGGAGCAAGTCCTGCAAGTGCCGCTGCAGAACGCACGTTATAAAATCACTCGGGTTGGAAAAGACCTCCCAGATCACGAAAAACATCAGCCCTGGATCTCACAGGGTCCCTCCCAGGTGGTAATAAGCACCACCCTGATGCTCCTCACCTGTCTCCTGGTCCGTGGTGACAGCAGCAGTCAGGCCAACGCCGGAGGAGCCCCTGCCCGTGGTGGGGATGGCCCGGGGTGCTGTGCTGAGCACGTACCGCAGCAGCTGGGACTTGGCCACTGATGGGTCTCCTGAAATGGAGAATAGCACCTTTAACAACCACACATCACCTGCATAACAAGTGTCATGTCACCTGGATGCCGTGTCTAGTTTTGGGGGTGCTCAGAGCACAGGCAGGTGGAGGGGAAAGGGGACAGAAGTGGGTTTGTTCGGTCTTGAGAAAATAAAGTGATAAGGTGGTTTTCTTGTCATCATGAAGAGGATGGGAGGAAATATAGAAGATGGAGGGAGAATTTTGAGAGATGATAGGGATGGGACAAGAGGCCAGGGGGACAGCTTGGAACACAAGAAATTCTGACTGGACAGTAGGAGAAATGTCCTTGAGGGTGGGCAACACTGGGACAGTGGCCCACAGAGGTTGTGGGACCCCTTAGAATCACAGAATGGTTTGGGTTGGAGGAGTCCTTAAAGATCATCCAGTTCTTAACCCTGCCATAGGCAGGGACACCCTACTAGACCAGGCTGTTCCAAGCCCCATCCAAACTGGCCTTGAACACTTCCAGGGATGGGGCAGCCACAGCTTCTCTGGGCAACCTGTGCCAGGGCCTCACCACCCTCACAGGGAACAATTTCTTCCAACATCTTATCTAATTCTGTCCTCCTTCAGCTTAAAGCCATTCTCCCTTGTCCAGTCACTCCAGGCCCTCGTCCCAAGTCCCTCTCCAGTTCTCTTGGAGCTCTTTAAGGCACTGAAAGGGGCTCTAAGGTCTCCCTGGAGCCTTCTCTTCTCCAGGTTGAATACTCCCAGCCCTCCCAGCCTGTCTCCAGAGCAGAGGGGCTTCAGCCCTTGCAGCATCTCTATGGTCTCCTCTGAACCCATTCTAACAGGTCCACAACCTTCTTGTGCTGAGGACTCCAGACCTGGAACCTCCAGAGGTCCTGTCTAACCCCAGTTACTCCAAGAAACTAAGTCTCAAAAAAATGTTTCTTCCTCTCACACCCTGACACCAACCAAGGGTGCCTCTGCCCAGCCCTTCCAGACCTATCAGCAGGATGTTGATGTCTCCTCGGATGCGGCTCCCGTTCTCCAGGATCTTCTCCACCCCTCCGAGCAGCATGCAGAGAATGGCCTTCTTGATGTACTCGTGCCCATGGATGCTGGGAGCCAGAGATTTGGCCAACTGGTCAAAGATATCCTAAGGCAGAGGAGGCAAAGCACGGCCTATCACATGGACTGCAGCAGGTAAGAACAAAGCAATACTTCAATAGAACATTTCAGCCCAAATTTCAGCTTCTTCCCATCGCAGAGCCACATGGATGAAAATCATTTAGAAAGGAGAAGACCTTTGGCCAGAGTTTTCTTTCAGTGGGACTTTTCTGAAGTCCTGGACCATCCTGTCACTCTCACCCAAGCAAGCACTGGAAGCAGTGAGAGCAAGGATTGCTCTTTACACACTATAGAGCAAAGGTCTGAGCATAAGACCAGGCTGGCGCAGTATCTCACTCTGGTTTGGGGTTTGAAGTGGAAAGAGGTGCTTCTCCTGCAGTGGAAATTCCCTGGAAACCAGCTGGTAGGGTCATGACACAGCAGAGCTGTCAGCAGGAAGGTTGCTCTGCTAGCAGCACAGAAGCAGCAACAAAAACAACAGGATCTGACCGCAGCCTGAGCAGAAAACTCAAAGAAAACAAGTTGGAAAATCCAGCAACGTTGCCAAGAGGGTTGAAGAGTTACTTGCAAGCCAACAACACCCTCCTTAGCCACATGCCAAGCTCCTCTGGCCAAAACTTCACGCCCAGACACAAGCCTGCCTTCCAGATGTGAGACCCAAATACCTTGGAGCGGCTCTTGCTGAATCTCTTGATCTTGGCCACATCAGCAGCAGAGTAGAGAGGCCGCACGTCTTTGCTCATCTGCTTCACGTGGCAGGCGATGAGGATAGTCCTGGGGACGGGACACAGCTGTGGTCAAACCCCACAAAGATCCCACAGAACTTCCACAGTGTCATCACTTCCTCTAGGAAGCCATGGAGGTGGGGGTGGGAAGCTTCAAGAGCTGTAACCCCCTCGATCTGACTGGGCTGCGCCAAGAGTGGAGCATCTTTAGGAGCATCCAACCCCCTCTGGGCACAGCTGGAAGTCACAGCTACACACTGTGAGGGGAGACATCATCACAGGCTGCAGTTTCCTCACATGGGGCAGTGGAGGGGCAGGCACTGATCTCTGCTCTGTAACCAGTGACATGACCCGAGAGAACAGCTGGAGCTGTGTCAGGGGAGGTTTAGGCTGGATATTGGGAAAAAGTTCTTCGCCCAGAGGGTGGTTGGGCACTGAACAGGCTCCCCAGGGCAGTGGTCATGGACCTAAACCTGACAGAGCTCAAGAAATGGTTGGACAACACTCTTGGTGGGATTGTTGGGCCTGTGCAGAGTCAGGAGCTGAACTCAGTAATCCTTTTGGGTCTCTTCCAACTGAGAATATTCTGTGATTCTGAGGCTGATGCTAAGGATCAAGGCGCAAATCACTTCCAAGTGATTCAAGCCACTGTTTGCCCCAGCTCAGCGATGGCCACCTGACTGTCCCAGGTCTCACCTTCCAGAGATGTGAGCCAACCAAACAGGGCAGGAGGGCTGAAGCCCAAAGAAGGCTCACCTGAAAGTCCCCGAGGTGTATCCCTGCTTCTTCCCTGGCAGGCAGCGGTACGTCCCCACCACCTGGATACGGTCCCCAGGCTTCACCGTGTCCACCAGGTCATCATCCAAAACCACATCCACCGAGCGTGGCAGCTGCCCCGCCGGGGCCTTCTCGGGCATCTCCTGGATCGTGATGGTCTGGTGGTCCTTGTAGACCGAGAGGCCAAACTCTGTCTCCAGGGGGTTGTTCTCTTCATCCTAAAAAGCAGGAACCCCAATAAAAAGATTAGCCCCACTTTTCAGGAGCACAGGGAGAAGAGATGGGTCAGGTAAGCAGTGGGAAGACAGGCATCACCCAACACGCACAGGACTGCTGGAAAGGGTTGTTTTAGCAGGACTGGAGGCTAGGGTTCACCAGCTGACACATTCTCCCCAGAGGAACCTGCTGATGCTTCTCCCACAAGGTTAATTCCCCTCACCTTTGTAGGGTAGACGGTGCTGGATGGGAAGGCATCCAGGGAGGTCATGTCGGTGTATCGGCGCTCAATCGTCTTCTTGGTGGCCGGGCAATAATGGACACTCCGGACGATCTTGGGACGAACCAGAGAGCCTGAGGTTGGAAAACAGAGTAGTTAGAGGCTGGGGTGTCCCTCTCTTCTGTCAGCAGACAGTCCCCAACAGGATCTCCAACACTAAACTGCACTTGGGTCACAACCTCCTGTCAACCATGGGCAGGATTTGCTGAGCTCAAAGACCAACCCAGACACCCACTTGGCTTCTGCCAAGCCCCCTGTTCATTGGCCCAGATTGCCAGGACACAGAATCACAGAAGGTTTGGGTTGGAAGGGACCTGAAAGACCATCTCATTCCATCCTCCTGACGACCAGGTTGCTCCAACCCCTGTTCAACTCAGCCTTTGGCAGCCACAGCTTCTCTGGGCAAGGGCCTCGCCACCCTCACAGGGAAGAATTTCTTCCTAATATCCAATCTAAATTTACACTCTTTCAGTATAAAGCCATCCCCCTCTTGTCCTGTTACTCCATGTCCTTGTCAAAAGCCCCTCTCCCTGCCAGGACTCCTGGAGGGCTCCAGCTCTTCCACAGCAAACAGATGGTCCCCCCAGCCCTGGGTTGTCCCCCAGTCTCACACTTTGTCACGATGCCCTCCACACAGACGATGCAGCTGAGGAAAGAGGCTGTCAGTGTCCGTGGGGACACGTGCTTGGAGCCAAAGCTGCCCTCCAGCCCGATGTAGAAGTCCTCGTACTGCTTGGCGTAGGTGGCGTCCACAGAGGCGACGAAATCCTTCAGGGCCCGCTGGAAGGCGATCAGCTCCTCAAAGGCATGGTTCAAGAGCCTGCAACACAGGGAGGGGACAATGCAGATGGATCAGCCCCTCCTACCCTCCTCCTCTGAACTTAAGCTTGTCCCATTTCCCCCACATGCTTCATAAGTGGGGAAAAACCTTAAAGTCTGTCACAGCTCTGCGTGAGGTCCACTGGCACCAATATTCGGAAGATGAACAAATCCGAGCTCATCTGGGAAATTTCACATGTCCCATCGGCAAGTCTGATCCAAAATATCCCTAAGCATCCTAAACAAAGCTGAGAGAGCTGTGGGTGTCCTGCCTGGAGAAGAGAAGGCTCCAGGGAGACTTCAGAGCCCCTTCCAGTGCCTAAAGGGGCTTCCAGGAGAGCTGCAGAGGGACTCTGGACAAAGGCCTAGAGTGACAGGACAAGGGGGAACAGCTTCCCACTAACAGAAGACTGGGTTAGGTAGGATATTGGGAAGAAATTCTTCCCCATGAGGGTGGTGACACCCAGCACAGGTTGCCCAGAGAAGCTGTGGCTGCCCCAATTATGGAAGTGTTCAAGGCCAGGTTGGACAGGGTCTAACCAACCTGGTCTAGTGGAAGGGGCCCCAGCCCATGCCCCCAGCCCAGGGGGATTGGAACCAGATGAGCTTTAATGCCCCTTCCAACACCAATCATTCCATGATTTATATCATATAACCACCTCCAGTTTGCTGCAGAAACTTTTTGTCAAACTCTACAAGCTTGGAAGGGATGGGCCTCGTGGGGGAAAAGAGCAGGTACACCTTTTCCAAGGGACCCGGTGCACAGGACAAAGTTTGGCCCTTCCCTGCCACAAGGGACCTGCAAAACCAGAGCTGGAGCTCTGACACCCCTCTCAGGTAGGTGCCCCCCGTGCCCACCCCCACCTGTTGGCTCTCCTCTCGTTCTTCCGCCGCAGGTCGTTGATGTTGACGAGGAGCCGGCACTGGTTGTCACTGATCATGTCCCGGACCTTGCCCTGGTAAATCCCTTGGTCTTCCTGCAAGTGGGAGTGGATGAAAGACATAAAAAAAAAACCCTTAACTTTGCATTCCCGCCTGTGTGAGACAATCCCCAGGAGCGATTCCTGCACAGCTTGACTCCCGTTATTCCCTGACGTGGTAACACAGGGATGCAGTGCTACCCCATCCCCAGAGGCACATGTGAGGACGAAGCAAGGGTACAGGGACCAGGTACCGCCAAACCCCCGGGGAGGATCAAGGGGAGGGTGAGTGGCACAGGGACCAAATGCTCCCCAATCTCGGGGGGGACTTATCTGGGGGAGGGAGGGGCAGGCGCATAGGGACCAGGTACTGTCTAACCCCCCCGAGGGTACTTATTGGGGGCGGGGGGGACATAGGGACCAAGTGCTGCCCAACCTCAGGGGTTCAAGGGGTCGGGGGGCATAGGGCCCTGGTGCTCCCCATCTCCGGGGCTACATATTGGAGGAGGCACAGGAACCAGGTGCTCCCTAATCCTGGGGGTTTATAGGCGGAGGCAAAGGGACCAAGTGTTCCTCACCCCAGAGGGGTACGTAAGTGGGGGAGGGGGGAGGAGGAGCACACGGATCCGGTGGTTCCCAGCCCCAGAGAGCACAGAAGGGATGCAGCACCCGCGTCTCCGAGCTCGTCTCACCTCATCATCCAGGAAATCGAGGTAGTCGCGCTGCGCCTCGCGCAGCTCCGCATCCTCCAGCCCGCCCGCCGGCGCCGCCATGCTGTGGCCGCTCGGGGAGGGATCCCGCCGCCGCCGCTTCTGCTGCTGCCGCTGCTGCAGGGGAAGGCGGTGAGAGCCCAGGAGAGCCGGGCTGGCCCCGCAGCCCCGCTTTCCGGCCCCGCAATGGGAGAGATCCGATGCTCCCCCTCCCGCAGCCGCCGCGCTCCCGTTTCGCGCCAAACACGGGCCCTTTCCCGCCACCGCGCGGGAAATCCGCCCCGCTCCCGCCCCGCGGCGCTGATGATTGGTCAGCACGGCCCCGCCCCAGCCAATGGGGCAGAGAAAGAGTCAGTGGGCGGGTGATGGACAGGAGTTTCAGCCTATCAGAGAGCGGAGGGGCGGGGCGAGGGGCCGCGCTGTCCCGCTGTTCGGGGTGGGGGAACCGGGACCGGAGGAACTGGAAGGGTCCCGGTCGGTCCTGAGGATCGGGCTCCTGCTCCTGGAAGTTACCGGCGCCTGAAAATGCCAAGTAATTTAAGAAAAAAATAAAAAAAAAATAAAAAAAGCGCGAGCTCGAAAGCAGAAAAAAAAAAAGAAAAAAAAGGAATGAGAATCACAAACAAACAAGTAAAAACAGTTACAAATATATTTTGGAGGGTTTTTTTAGCAATATATTTTGGAGAGCGCCATTTCCGGGTGTTTTCTCCCCATATAGGCTGCATGGGCTCACTTTTCCCTTTAACATGGCCCGATGTGACTCCAGGAGTTTGGGAATGAACACACAAAAGCAACAGGTCCCGTGGTATTTGTAATGATAAAGGTGATTTTTGGATGTGTCTTAGAATCACAGAATGGTCTGAGTTGAAGGGAACTTAAAGATCGTCTCAATCCAACCCCATCCATGCCATGGGCAGGGACACCTTCCACTATCCCAGGTTGCTCCAAGTCCCATCCAACCTGGCCTTGAACACTTCCAGGAATGGAGCAGCCACAGCTTCTCCAGGCAACCTGTGCCAGGGCCTCCCCACCCTCACAGGGAAGGATTTCTTCCCATAATGTAATTTATACCTGCCCTTTGTCAGTGAGAAGACATTTCCCTTTGTTCCATCACTATCTGCTTGTGTATAAAGTCACTCTCTCTCCTTTTTCCAAGGCCCCACTAAGTCTTCTGAGAGGTTTTTGTAGGCAGAAATCAAAGGGAAAGTGGACACAGTGGTGCCGCTGGGTACAGGGAAACCTCTGCTCCCCCTTAAAACAGCATGTTGGTATCCCTTAAAAATCTTTATCTAAACTCTGTTTAAAAATAGAAAAAGAATAAAAAGCTTGACAAAAATATTTCAATCAGCGGGGCATACTGGGCACCCAAACTTGGCTGTGTCCCCTGGATGTTGGAGCTAACACCAGTTTATCCAGGGAAATGCTGGAAATAAATATTCACCCGGGTTCTGTAGGGCTGTGCAAGTGCTGAGTGCACAACATTCCCAGTGCCTGACCTCTCCAGAGGGAGCAGCTGCCATTCGTGCTTCGGAAGAGGAGCAGGAAACAGCCTCTGCCCTATTTCCCATTTTCTCTTTGTGTGCCTGGATCAGGTCGATCCTTGGAAATGTTGCTGGTAACACTGTGGCCAGTGCAGGATACGTGTGGCTCGAGTCCTGGGTATTTGTCCCACTTACTAGAGATTTTTTTCACGTTGTTTTGAATCAAAGTGAAAGTTCAAGAGTTTCCTTTTTAGGCCTTTGGGCCCTTCCCTGAAATAATTTCATGGAGTATTAAGTCTGGCAGGTTGGCAGGAATGAAGGATCTTGTGCTCTCTTGCTGTTTTCTTTTTTTTCTTTTCTGCATTTTTCTTTTTTTTTTTCCCCCTTTCCTTTTTATTTTCATTTTTCTTCTTCTTTTTCTTTTTATTTTCCTTTTGCTTTTAATTTTCCCTCTTTCTTCTCCCTGTCATCTCCCAGCTTTTTCTCCTGGCTCCAGAGATGCTCCCTGCAGCCAGAATACCCTCCCTGCCTGTGCATACTCAGCAGCACCCATTTCCCTACAGAAGCTCCTCAGATCCACTCCTTCCCCCTGATTTTCTGGAGATTCCTTGTTTTCATGAGTGGAGGAAGCACAAAAAAGAGTGAACAGAGAAAATCTTTGCTGTACCCCTGCCACATAGAGATATATATAGATAAATTATACATATTTATATTATGTATTTTACATATTTCTATTATATATTTGTATATAAAGATGATATAAATATATTTAGATATAGATATAGATACAGATATTTAGATATAGATATAGATATAGATAGCTAATATAAAGATATTTAACTGGGCACATCAGCCATGAGGATATAAACTGGCTGGAGGAATCAGCCTGTGTAAGTGCCCAAATGAAATATGATTTATCCTGTTTAAATGGGCAGAACCTGCCATAAGATTTCACCTCTGGGACAGTTTTTCTCTCCCTCCAGCAGACAGACTAATAAATCCATCCATGGACACAGCCTGTGTGCTCCACTGCAGATAAAATATAGATGGAAAAATAAAATATGGATGCAAAGCACCCCACGAGCACAACAAAGAGTGGTGCCAGGGTGGCATTCAGACACATATGTGTGGATTGCACAAGATCTCACCTACATTTAAGTGGTCAGAATGAATTCCAGCCCATGGATCACTGTGGATTTCCTCCTGCTGGGAGCTGGCAGGGCCCCATCGCTCCTGCCTGCAAGGTAACAAGAGTTAGGGATAAAAATAACCACTGTTGTTATTCAGGACAGCCCCTATAGCAACTGCTGCGTGCCTGAATAATTCATTGGAGCAGGTCAGGCCAAGGAGGACAGAGGGATGGAGAGACATGGAGAAGGCTGGGATGATAAAAGCAAGGCAGAGGCCTTCCCTGCTTTTTGGGGCTTTCCAGGAGGGTGCCAAGTCCTCCACGGGTTCACCTCCCTGCCACATTCCCACAGTGACCAGTGACAGGGTATAGAGGGAAAACAGTTGACAGAGACTTTTAGCACTTCCTATCCACTGGAAAAAAAACAGGAATTAGGCTCTTGAATACACAGAGGGCTGGGGCTGCAGAGCTCCAAAAGAAGTACGAGGATCAGGGGTGGATGCAGCAGTGATTTCCATGGGTGGATTGCACAATGAGGGGTGCTGGCCAGAACACCCCACCAGCCCTCAGTATGGATTTTCTCCTCCCTTCCTCACACCTCTGTCCACCTGGATTCTGAGATCCCTTTATGGGTACCCTGTGATCCTTCCAATATTCTGGGGATTTTTTTTTTTGTTCTCTGGGGTTTTTTTCGTTTGTTTGTGAGGGTTTTGTTTTGGTTTTTTTTCCCCCTTAGTTCAACTAAATATCAATTTTCAAGCCACAATTCACTTTCCAAGTTGCCATCTATTCACTTTCCCTCATGCTGAGCAACTTTGTCTCACCCATGGGGGGCAGGGGAGAGGCTTGTGGCTCATTCACAGCTCCAAAAAGGAGGGGGAAGAACACCCCAAATTTGATGGAGTGTCACCTCATCATCAAGCAACACATCAGAGTTGAGGTTTCTGATATAATTTTAATAAAACAGAAGGATTTCACAGAATGAAATGTTTTGAATGAAATAAAACCACTATCTATAACTGAAACGTTGTGAAGTGAGACCACCTACGAGGTGTTTTCATCAGGGTAAATTTTAAGTTTTCCAAGGGATTAAAGGGATTTATCCTTACCGGGCTCTCCTGCAGCTGCAGTTGCAGCAGCTGAACTCGAACCAGGAAATTCCCTCTTGCCAGCAGAGCGTTGTCCTGACTCTCATCACTTCCACACATGTGGAAGATATAATTTAGTGCTGAAGGAGCCCTTCTTAATCCCCTATCCTGACCTTTTCCCTAACATAGGCTGGAGAATTTCACCCCATCACATCTGCACCCAGCTCAGGCATTTCTGACATCCTTTTCTTGAAGTGTTTGCTATTCCCACGCACTCTGGTAAATCTTTAAATGGTTCTAGCTCCTGGTTTTTTCCTAGTTGTGGAGAAGAAAAATATGGAAAATTACTACCATTGTGCATGAATGGAATTTCTTCACTTAAAGGCATGTCTGGTATCTCACCAGGAGAGCACAGTAAAGGGGTAAGAAGTTAAAGCTCTGACCTTCCGTGTGTTTGGATGGATTGTAGCCACCTTCTTGCTTCCCAGAGTAGGAGCCCAGTGCATAGGGATCTTTTTTTCCTCTCAGATGCCACTGGCATGCAATCAGCACAATGAGGGGAATGTAAAATCTTGTTGTGGTCCTGCTTCTGATGCACCAGCTACTCCAGATCCCGCAGGAATTCATCCTCTTTTCCTGCTGTGCAGAAGGAAAATACAGCGTTTAATAGAAAACCAAAACAAACCCACAGAGGCTGTGCCTGCAGGCACAAGGAAAACTGAATTCCAAAGGAAACCACAGGAGTGGCTGAATCAACAAAGCTCTGGAGAGCGTGGATGTGGAATGGGGCAACCCAACCACATTTCCAGGGAAGTCCGAAGGGCCCAGACACGGATTGCCCATGGTTTGGTGTTGCTATTTCTGTCTGCTCATCTGCTCTCATGAGTTCTGGCTGTTACTAAAGACAGTGACAGCTGGTTCCTCTTTTTTTCTATTCTTTCATTTTCTCCACTGACCAAGCTTGAAAACCACCCATCTCTATGTAAAACATCCTTGCCTCTGCCTCAGGATCTCTGGGATCTGCCTTCAGCCATGGGTCAGGAACCACTGGTCACTTCAGCAAGTGATGCCCAGCTTCAGAATCATAGAATCATGGTCCAGTTTCGGCTGGAAGAGACCTTAAAGACCATTGCATTCCAACCCCTGCCTTCCCTAGACCAGGTTGCTCCAAGTCCTGTCCAACCGGGCCTTGGACACTTCCAGAAAAGTGTTCAAGTGCCTCACCATCCTCAGAGTGAAGAATTTCTTCCCAATACCCCATCTATCCCTGCCCTCTGGCAGTGGGAAGCCATCCCCCTTTGTCCTGTCCCTCCAGGCCCTTGTCCAAAGTCCCTCTCCAGATCTCCCAGCCTGGCTCCAGAGCAGAGGGGCTCCAGCCCTCGGAGCATCTCCGTGGCCTCCTCTGGACTTGCTCCAGCAGCTCCACATCCTTGTGCTGTTGTTCCCCAGGCCTGGAGGCAGCTCTGCAGGTGAGATCTCACCTGAGGGGGCAGAGGGGCCCTCCCCTGCTGCCCACACTGTGGGATGAGCCCAGGACACGGGGGGTTTCTGGGCTGGGAGTGCCCATGGTCAGGGCACGTCCAGCCTCTCACCCCCAGAACCCAAACTCCTTCTCCCCAGGGCTGTTCTCAATCCAATCTCCACCCCATGGGAAGATGGGAAGCTGCAGCAGTTCCCACAAGACACATTAGCAATCATCACCAGACTGTCACAATGGGCTCCCTGCTCTGGTACAAACCACGAGGAGGCAGGAAAGTCCTGACCCCAAATTGTCACACACTCCTTGCACAACACGCAGGGAGCAGCTGATGGTGGCAAAATTAACTGTATCAAGAGCTTCTTTCTGATTGCAGGGGCTGAACTTGGTAACCCAGGGCTTTTTTTCAGAGTTATTAGTTAAAGTAAGTCTTAGTGTCCTGCATCTAAAATTTGCCAAACCCTGAGCATCAATCCTTGTCCAGCAGGAAGGAGTTCCATGTGGGAACAGATGGGGCGGAAAAACTCTCTCTTACCCAAGCACGATAACAACATGTCAATACTCTTTACCACAAGCAAGTACAGGGAAAAGGGAACTGATCCAATTTTCCGGATCCCATTTGGTGTTTGGCATAACTCAGTTATCTTTGGTGCAAAGCTGCCCTGTTGTCCCTCAGCGGCACAGTGTGGACACAGTGTGTTTGGATGCAGCCTGGTGAGGGGAGACCCCGGTCTACAAAAGAAGCTCCTCTTTTTGGATGATAATTCCCTTCCATCCAAAGCATTCAGTGATACATATTTGGGTGGGGAATTACACTATTCAGGACATGTCTGAGGGCACAAAGAGGACTTGAATCATATCAGATGACTGTAAAGGGTAGGGAGAGCCCAGCCTGGCACAGCCTGGTCTTAACTCTGGGAGTGATCTCCTGTGCAAACACAACCACACCTGGGTTTTACCTTGAAGGGAAGTGGGTGATTCATTTCAGGGTTTAAAATGTACATAATAGGGAGCAACAGGGACTGCAGCACAGCAGGGTAAGGCTGAGGTGAACTCCCCAGCTTGGAAGGTACCAGTCACCTGAGAGCCTGCAATGGAGCCAGAGATCAAAGAGATCTCCCTGTGCAGCATCCACCAAGATTGGTGTGCAAAACAGGCTGTGAGTACCCACTCAGGAGAGCAGTTATCCTGCACAGAGCTGCCCTTTCCCCCTTGTCACAGCTGCCCTTGGGCTTGTCATGTAGATAATCAAGGAAAAAAACCTTTCACCACAGCAAAACAGAAGTGCAGGTGACCCAGCAATGTGGCAATGTCCGTGTTCAGCAGGCATGTCCCACCCCACCATCCCTTTCTGCCTGGGTTGTATTTTATGTCCCACCTGGTCTCCAGCCTTGCCATGGTAACAGACCGTGCTCACCTGAGTGTTCCCACTTTTCCCACGTGAGAAATGATGGAAAGATGGGTGGAAGAGGAAAAGCCATGACCTTCATCTCACAGCTACTGAGCATCCCTGGAGATTCCATGGAATCACAAAAATTGGGGTTGGAAGGGACTGTAAAGACCATCTTGTTCCACCCCTCTGCCACGCACAGAGACACCTACCACTATCCCAGGTTGCTTCAAGCCCTGTCCAACAGGGCCTTGGACACTTCGAGGGATGGGGCAGCCACAGCTTCTTTGGGCAACCTGTGCCAGGGCCTCACCAGCCTCACAGCGAAGAATTTCTTCTCAATATCTCATATAATCCTGCCCTCTGGCAGTGGGAAGCCATTCCCCCTTGTCCTGTCCCACCAGGCCCTTGTCCCAAGTCCCTCTCCAGCTCTCTTGGAGTCCCTTTAGGCACTGGAAGGGGCTCCAAGGTCTCCCCAGAGCCTTCTCTTCTCCAGGCTAAACACCCCCAGCTCTCTCAGCCTACCTCCAGAGCAGAGGGGCTCCAGCCCTTGGAGCACCTCTGGGGCCTCCTCTGGTCTCACTCCACCAGCTCCACATCCCTCTGATGTTGTGGGTACCAGAGCTGGAGGCAGCTCTGCAGGTGGGGCCTCACCTGAGCAGAGCAGAGGGGCAGAATCCCCTCCCAATTTAAGGAATGGAGGGGGAGGATGTTGCAGTATTGTGGGTCTTTCAGGAGGATGTTTCTTAGAGGGGCAGAAAATGGCAGCAAGATGTCAGTGAGGGGGTCAGGAAGTGCTGATTCTATCCCATCCTCATCCCTGAGCGAAATAACAGGGAAAAATTGAGGACCCCTGCCCACCCTCTTCACCCTGTTGGGTTTTCCCTCCTCACTCTGAGGGCACTGGCTCTCCCACTGGCATCTCCACACTGGGAGATGTGTGCTGAGATGTGCTGAACCTTCAGCCAGGCTGGAGTGATCTTATCAGAGCTGGAAAGTCACGTTCCTGGGCTGCCTCTCCACGGATCCTCTCCCTGCAGAACAAACAGTCCTTGTGTTTCTCTTGTAAACCCATCAAAAAACA